TGTTTAAATTGCATCTATTCTAGCAGGACTTGCTTGTTAAACTTCAGTCACCAAATCTTTTTGGTACAGTCTATTTCTAAGGCAGGAGAGATTTTTCCCGTTACATTGCAGTTTCTGAATGCAACCACCTTGCAACTGAAAGCATTTCTAAAATAACAAAATTTTATGTATTCAAATATGTATAGCTGAGAAGAATATTTGCAATACAGTAATGGCAGAACACTAAAGCAAAGCAAGGAGATTAATCAAAGCAACTGCATTAGCTAAGATGGAATGATTTTATAGGAAGAAAAAAAATCAGATTCCAATGTACCATCAAAGAAGGAATATATATATAATATATATATTCAATTTAATATCAAAGTAATTAAGATTACTCAAGGTAAATCTACTCACATCCCAGAAACAGTATGATTCAGATCACTTATACTTGCAAAGAAGTGGAAGATTTCAGACTATAGATTGTATTTGATATCTTTCAGAATGTTGAGTCCTTATTCAGCAAAGCACTTGGGCTTATATTTAAAAAGGAGATTTTCAAAGACACAAATTGATTTATGGCAGAAACAGATCAGCTAGTCTATCTTAAACTAAAGATGGTCTGTGCCTTTGAAAATCTTCCCTACCAACTTTAATAGGACATAAACATATACTTGAAGCTAAGAATTGTGCTCCACAGCCAGAGCTCCTCTCCTTTTCCCTAGAACATAGCCTGCACTCAGTTTTTGCAGAAAGCCAGTTGAGCATGGCAAAAGGAGAATTAACACTTCAGGAGTATAAGTAACCACTTATTTTTAAATCTTTCTGAATTATGAAGCTACAAACATTATTTGCCTCATTTCACCAGGATTTGCCCTATCTTCTCTTTTTTTTGCCTTGGTCCATAATTCTCAGAATTTCCACTTATTGTATCAGTTTAAAATAAACTGTGTTAAGGTCTAACAGTTCATATTTTGATAAAGCAATATATGATATCAAGGCAGCATAACAGTAACACACACTCTAAACTCCAGAAAGTTGTCTCATTCTAGAGTTTCAACATTAAACATTAAAAGCTGTTTGAACTACCTTTCATAACTTTTATACTATTTTTTACATTGCTTATAACAACAACGTGGAAACGAAAACTTGCCACACAGAATTAATTCCCTCTTCACTTTCAGATGCAGAGATTTGTTGCCGAGCTTGTGAGATCTTGTTTAGGCTCCAAGTTCTGATCTGTATCCCATCACTGTGCCTGAAAACTGTTTTCTGGGGGGAGAGAGGTCCTTATTAGCAGACATTCTTCCTGGTCACAGAGCAGGGGAAAATAAAGAGCAAATACAACAATGGCACACATGCCACTAATCTCAAATTCTAGCATTGTTTCAGTATTTAACAACATTTTCAGCTATACCGAGACAGCAACAGGAGTTGCAAACTAACCAATAAGATTTGACAGACACACTCACAGTTTTACATTTCTCTTTTAAAATGCAGGCACTTGGATGTGGGTGTGTGGGACAGGCTGTCCTCAGCCGAGGAGCCCATGGTGGGCCCATGACAGTATCAGTTGGATTTGCAATGGCAGTCACCATAGCAGTATATGTGTCTGGGGGTGTTTCTGGTAAGTGACTTTCTCATATAGTATTTATTGCCACATTTTTTTGTGTTCTCCTTTTTTCCTTCTGTTCTTTGTGTTTGACAAATTCTTCTACCAAACCCTGATCTGAGCTAGAGTACAAAACCTGGCAGACCTATGACAGGCAGTAGCAAGTCTGCTCCTGTCTGTTTGTTTATTCATGGAAACAGCAGTTCACAGAATGCAAAAAGATTCAATACTAGATACACACTTTGTGATACACTGTCAAGGTACTGTCATTGCCTCTTTGTTTCTGCTATAACATTTCTTCAATGTATATTGGTCAGGATCTCTCTTTTGTCTGTAGCTGGGCTAACTAATCAGTGTCTGCATGTGCCATATTGGATGGTGCTTTGTCTCCTATTTCCACCATTCATTTTGGCCAAATTAATATCAAGAACATTAGCATAACTGCTTTTAACATTTAAATTCTCCCTTTAAAACAGAAAATGATGGGTTGTAATGCACAGTATAATACACAGAATATACACAATACTCTGTGTTGTGTGTGGAGTTTATATTGCCCTCTTAAAGCAATGGTGCCCTTGTACTCCAGTTCTTATAGAGGAATTTCTTACCATTCATAAAGAGGGTAAAATTGATCTGGGCAGGTATCTCTAGGTATAAGTAGGCCATAATAAATAGTTGCTAGAGTAGAAATTACTGTGGCTAGTCTTCTCTTTTACAGAGATATCATGCATGAGGAGATTTCCAAGTTCACATTAGAAAGCGCTCAAGGTACTGCAAAACAGGCAGTCTTGTTACTGTCATTGAAACAGAGCAGAATGGTTCCTTAATAAAGCACAAAATTAATTCAGCAGTACATTCCTATTATCTGAACAACTGTAAGCTACAGCGCTTGGTTTACGTGTAGGCAGGTAAACTCCTCTAATGTAATCTCGTGAAAAAAACCCTGTAAAGACACTAACCTGTCCTATATTTCCATCTTCAAGGGACATTAATCTCTATTATATAGAAGATTAGTGTTCACTCCCAGCATGGCAGAGCAGTTGCAGATATTGCAGTATTGTGCTTCCTGTGTTTTTCCCATGACAAAGGATTCTGCATGCAGTGCATTTTCTCTGTGAAAGAACAGGAACAGATATTTCAATAGGCTGTGACTATCCAACATCTGATTACTAGTGGACACTTTAGAATATCACTTCCTACATAGAATTTGTCAGCAAATTCTGTGGCTTTTTGGCCATAAAGTCTCATGTTTAAGTACTGCTAAAATACTTTGCATTTGTTCTTTATGAAATTCTAAATTCATGGTAACATAAAATATATAGTCTGCACACTTGGTGATTTTGAGCTCTTTTATCTAGGAAAAGTTCCCTTTTTGCTTTTCCTCCAATTTTCTTCAATGTCTAGATAATTCCCCACCATTTTTTCCAACTTACCATTTCAAACAAACTCATGAGTGGGATCACTGCAGCTACAAAAGAATGGGGAACACATTGTCCAAAGACGCCTTTTTTTTTTTTTTTTTTTTTTTTAACCAGGAAACTACCAGTGGCACAGGAACCAAGAATCTTTTAGCTCCCCTATGTCAGCATGAGAGTCTTCAACTAGACGTTTCCTTTCCAGATTTAATGTTAATCAGACATCTCTAATATTATCAGGACTTGTCCTGGCCATCATAATCACCCTGTATTATATACAGGTGGGGAACAATATTAGGTGTTGAAAGAAAGGAAAATTATTCATTCCAGCCAGAGTAAAGAACAAATGACAAGACAACAATTTATCAAAATTCACATAAAGGGCTATTAAATAAGGTGCCATCCATCTATTCGCTCCATGGTGAAGAATTTGAAACACAGTGAGGAATTCAAAGTTAATTCAAGACTGGTGTTACTAGGTCAGAGTTTTGGAAATGATACAAAGAAGGTTTTATCCAGCTTGTTATCTGTGTTTGTCAGTTCATTATGTATCAAAGGTGCCTGGATTTCATAAGATAATGACTCACTGACCTGAAGTGCAAGCAAACACAGAAACTGTACATAGAGGCCTTCTCTCCATCACTAGCATTTGACAGACAAAGGTCACACTCTTTTAGTTATTTTATTAAGCCAAAGGCCATTTTTCCTGATAACCATACAGGCTGAAATGAGACTTTACCTGGAAGTTAAGCGATGGATCTGCTATTTCCTTGCAAAACTTGGGTTTTACTGTGGATGGATCTGCTATGTCCTTGCAAAACTTGGGTTTTACTGTACTTTTACTGTGGAGTACTGTTCCATCTGCTTATTTATTTGTAAAAAAAATTGACGTTTTCCAAAATCACTCAACACTTCTTTCCATGTTGTTTAAAGATGTTGAGGGAAGTGATTAGCTAGCATGTGACATAATAATAAATATATTTTAGAAACTAAAATTGTCACAAAGAATTTCAATATTGCTGAAATATTTTCCATGTGTGAGTTTAGGTGTAGCTACACCTAAATACAAAGGAAGGAAATTCCACAGGAAATAGAACTCTCTGTTTCAGCACAGCTCCTTTATCAGTTTCCTTCTCATGGACCTTTCTGCAGGGTGTAAGAGCTTGATGAAAATGTGTGATGAAGAACTACACACTGCTGTCCCCAGATCCCATCTGGGCATAGCTCTCCAGCAGTCAGTGTGAAGCTGGACAGCCCTGCCATTATTTTATTTTATAGAATTATAGAATGGTTTGGACTGGAAGGGACTTTTAAAGGTCAACTAGTCCAAACCCCCTGCAGTGAGCAGGAACATCTTCAACTAGATTGGGCTGCTCAGAGCCCTGTCCAGCCTGACTTTCAATGTTTCCAGGGATGGGGCTTCCCCACCTCTCTGGGCAACCTGTGCCAGTGCTTCACCGCTCTCATTGTAAAAAATGACTTCCTTATATCTAGTATAAATCTCCCCTCTTTTAGTTTAAAACCATTACCCCTTATTCTATCACCACAGGCCCTGATAAAAAGTTTGTACTCATCTTTCTTGTAGGCCTCCTTTAAGTATTAAAAGGCCACAAATAAGGTCTCCTCAGAACCTGCTCTTCTCCAGGCTGAACAACTCACAACTCTCTCAGCCTTTCTTCACAAGAGAGGTGTTCCATCCCTCTGATCATTTTTGTGGCCTCCTCTGGACATGCTTCAACAGGTCCATGCCTTTATTGTGCTGAGGACTCCAGAGCTGGACACAGTACTCCAGGTCGGGTCTCACCAGAGCAGGGAATCACCTCAGAGGGGCAGAATCCCCTCCCTCAACCTGCTGACCATGCTTCTTTTTATGCAGCCCAGGGTATGGTTAGCCTTCTGGGCTGTGAATGCACATTCCTGGCTGATGTCCAGCTTTTCATCTACCAGTACCTCCAAGTCCTCTGCAGGGCTGCTCTCAGTGCCTTCATCCCCCAGCCTGTACTGATACTGGGGACTGCCCCAACCCAGGTGTGTGACCTTGCACTCAGCCTTGTTGAACTTCATGAAGGTTCACACGGACCAATTTCTCAAGTTTGTCCAGGTCCCTCTGTATGGCATCCCATCTCTAAGATGTATAAATCGCACCACTCAGCTTGGTGTCATCAGCAAACTTGCTGAGGGTGCAGTCGATCCCACTGTCTATGTCACTGATGAAGATATTAAATAGTACTGGTCCCAGTACAGACCCCTGAGGGACACCGCTTGTCACCAGTCTTCATCTGGACATTGAGCTGTTGAACAGTACCCACTGGATGCAATCACCCAACCAATTGCTCATCCACTGAACATTCCACCCATCAAATCCACATCCCTCCAATTTAAAGAGAAGGAAGTTGTGGGAGACCATGTAAAAGGTCTTATGGAAGTCCAGATAGATTATGTCCATAGCTCAATGTTAAATCCGTAGCTCTTATGTTCATGAAAACTTGAGTTAGTTCCTAAGTAACCTCAGGCTGAAGACAAGGACATAAACATGACTTAAATCCAGGGTACCCCAGATCTGCCTCAAGCTATTCAATCAAGTCAGTAATAGTCCTTAATCTTAATAGCCACTTGCTAAACTGAATGAACGTTCTGCTGCCCCACTCCTCCCTTAAAAATAAAAAGCCAAAGCCCTTGAGACAATACGTGCAGAACAATGGACCCTCACATCACAACCGATAGGGCAGATTTAGGCTTTTTCTAGAAAAAGTTAGCTATAGATTATATATTGCAGGACAGCAGTCTGACAAATAGCACAGTCTGCAGACATCAAGAGGGAAGTTGGATCTTGGTGGATACTGGCTTCCCTCCCCCCAAACTTCATCCAACTTGTTTCAGTTTAACTACAGTCAAGCATTTAATTGCAAAATAACATCTAGGAAAGCATGTACTACTCCCGTGCTCAAATGTGCCCACATTTTTACAAATCCTTCACCTATTCTTATGTATCCATAAAACTTAGTTTGTGATTTATTTTTCAGGTGGTCACATAAACCCGGCTGTTTCATTAGCCATGTGTGTGACTGGAAGATTAAAATGGACCAAATTACCAATTTACATATTAGCACAACTCCTGGGAGCATTTGTTGGAGCAGCGGCTGTCTTTGGGATTTATTACGGTGAGTACACCCTTAGACATGCTCACAGGACAAACTAGAGGTCAGGCAGTCTCTAAGGCCCCCATTTTTCAATGAATGCCAAGCAGGCAGAGAACTCTGTTCACACAGGGCTAATGGCAGGACTAAAGCTAAAGCCATAAAGAAGAAAAAAAGAAAGCATAAAGAGTTTGAAGAAAAAAAGGCTCAAACATTCCATGTATCCTACAACTTTTCTGAAACACTAATACTCCAGGAAATGTTCTGAAATTTAGAAAAGTTATTCATGGGAAATCAGATACTTTGAGATCATGTATTTCTCAGTAAGGATTTTAAATTACTTAATAGCCAGGATACAGGGCTATTCATCTTCCAAGCAAATTAGAAACATTAAAGACCTGATCCAAGTGCCTGTAGGCAAGTATCACCAACATCGTTCATTGAGGTTACAGGATATGAGATCAAGTCCCTCCAGACTAAACTTCAGACCACCTTTGAAAGGTAGTTCTCCAAGGCAATGAACTCCAGGTACAGTGATAAAGGGGTCACATACTAGAGGCGGGATGGAGGGGGGAAGATTACTCCTATCCTTGAGGCATATTTCTTTTACACGGTGTGCCACAAAGGGAAAAAAACTTAGTAACAGACTCCCTGACTTGATGAATCTGCTCAGTCAGATCAGTTGCTTCAATCACCTACTCCAAAACTCTGCTTCTACTGTCCCAGCGCATCTCCTCCAAAGCCTCTCCCTTTATAGGCATTATGTCTGCAGACAGTGCTGGATCTAGGAGCAACAGAGGAAAAATTAAAATGGAAATGCTTGTTGTATATCAGCTAGGTGCTCGGTACCAGTAGTAATCACAAACAGAAGACCCTTTAGGAACTGCGGTAATTGTTCCTGAAGTTTGGTGGGGTCTGTTTGTTTGGGGTTTGGGCCAGGGGAGTTGTTTGTTTGTTTTAGTGTTGCAATTTGGAAACTCAGATTCCAGAACAGGAATTCCACCTGAATCTAGGTCCTCCTCAAACCAGACAGCCAGGATTAGGGCTGTAGCCAGGATGCAGCAGTACATCAGCATGCACATGCTTCTAACGGCGATTCACTGTGCTCTGCCAAAGGGTAACAGTAGGACAGGGAGCCAAGATAGGGAACATAAAGATGGGGAACTTAGAGCTAGGATTAGGAACTTCTCCCTGTTATTCAGGAGTGCAGGATTTTCTCATATCCCTATCTCTGCTTAAGTACTTTGCCCTTTTCTTGTTCTTATTAATTCCCAAACCTATTCTGTAATTTTTCCTTCGTACAACTTGCAGGAGCATCCTGTGCTAATTGGGGTCCACTGAAAACTCACTGGTAGAAAAACAGATGTAGGAGCTTAACACCTCTGTCTTCCCCATACACACATACTTGAGCCAGGTGCTTTCATTTTCCACGATACTCCTGAAAAAGTGATAGAAAATATATATATGCTAGGCTGATGAACATGAGGCCTTTCTAAAGGTGTACAAAGTAATTCACAGCTGAGAAATTTTCTTTTCCTTATCCTTCCCCCCCCCCCAAAATTTTCCTTTCCCCCCCCCCCCCCCCCCCAATAGTTAAATGCAACAAAATAATATGACACTGCAAATGAGAAGGCCTGACCAAAGTAAACAACTAAAGATTCTCTGCACCCATGTTGTGGCCTTAAGCAAAGCTAGAAAGGAGAAATAGAGTTGTCTGCTAGCTCTAGAGAAGCTAACCGTCTTCACCATGACTTCCACGGGAAATGAAGAGCTGTTTCTTTACTCACAAGGATCACCTCATTACTGGGTCCACTAGTGAAGTAAAGGCATCATGTTTATTATTCACGTCTGTCTATGCAGATTTTTGAGTGCTTCATCTTAGTGTCTCCCTACTTCTAACATTTCAGGGCTTGCCAAGGCAGCAAATTATTTTGACACAGAAATCATATTATACTATTTAAAATATGCTTTAAATATACTAACATAAATATACATGTATTTACAATACACATAAATATTAACAATATATATAAAATACATCAACTTAAATATACTAAGAACTGAAGTTTTGGGGCTAGCCTCTCCCTTCATATCTTGGATGACTAACACAGCAGTTGGGTGTAAAGCCCATGCTGAGTAAAAAATTCAAACTCCTTTAGAAGAGGAGGTCTCTCAGGAGAGCTCATTCCCAGAAGTTGTCATTGCACAACTGTCAAATGGAATAGCAGTAATTCCTGGTGGCTGGGAATCCACAACAGTACGATCAGGGTGCTATGCATTTTTCAAGGCATCATGCCAAATATAGCACCCCTTACTGAATAATACAACTATCAGTTTCAGTTGAGAATGTGAAGTTCACAGACCTATCGCATATAATCTGGTCCTAGAAAACCTAGTGTGCATGGAGAAGTGAAACCAGGTAATGGCTGTTTTCTATAGATGCCTTTATGGAGTATAGCAATGGAACATTTGAAGTCACAGGACCTAATGCAACAGCACATATCTTTGCAACATATCCAGCTCCATATCTGTCCCTCATAAATGGATTTGCAGATCAGGTAAGTGCATTTGCTGTCTTGATTCTACAAATTAAACATACTGAAAACGGTAAAACCAAGCAGTAAAAAAAAACAAAACAAAAAAATAATCTCTAATGAGTATGATAAATCTCACTGTTTTGGTCATACATCACTGTACAACAGCAATAAGAATGCAATGCTGTTTGCAGGGGTTACAGTTTAGTCATATATTACAAGCAAGATAATTTGAAGTTGTTCTTTCCACATACATCATATTAATTGTTGCACTCTACATGTCTTTAATGCAATATCTATAAGAAGTTTTCCCCAGTGTAAATCAGTGTTTCTCCATAAACTTCAGCAGAGCTATGTCAATTTTCATCAAAAGCCAGCCCATTTTGTTGACCTATTTTTCCTTAAGTAATGCTTAAGCAGCCAGTTTAACACACCTTGAACAAGCTGAGTTTTCTGCTACCACAAGCTTCCTCTCTTACTTTCTCTTTGCAAATAGATGTTATTTTTCAAATTACTGAATCTGAAAAAAAATCCACTTTATTTCCAAGCTGTATTCTCTAATCCCTCTTATCCAACAGTGAAAAATTAAGTTTCATATCTTCTATCTACTTCTACTCATTTTACCTGTCTTCCTTAGGCATACATGAAATAAACACTGCCTAAGTAAGCTACAAAAAAATAGGGATTGCTGGAGCACAGGCATTTCTTATGTAAAGAAACTGAAGATTGTGAAATCAAAAAAATCCAAACAATGTTTTGAATTTTTTAAAGAAAATAATTCTGATTTTTGCTTTAGATCAGTCAGACTTTTCCATAAGATCTTTTCACCCATGGATGTTTTAAAACAAAATTTAAAACAGGTGAAATAAAAAAAAAAAAAAATATCAGAACTCCCAAATTTCAACTTCTTTAAATCAATATAGAGACTGAATGTTTTGACATTGCTGAAACTTTTGCCTGTTTTCCCCCTAAGTTAATTATTAGCAAAATTGACATTTACAAAGCATTTGATTTAAGCAGAGCAGCACTTCCATCAAAGTAGTTCCAAGAAAATTTCCTTCCTCAGCTCAATTAGCAGATCCAATACAGAGTTCACATTACAGTTACATGTGCAATCTAAATTTCAGCAATTCCTAGTTTTTTAGCTGTTCAGTTTTGACTTTGTAGATTTCAATTTTTCCTCCTGACATTATGCAATACGTGGATAAAGAGGTGCATATTTAGTCTAATTTGTCAGTGTAAGCTACAGTCACATAAAATAGTTTTATATCAATGTAACTGATTGTATTGGCATAGTAGAACTACCAAAAATCAGGTAAATTGAACTGTTAAATTGGTAGGAAAAAATGTGGAAACAAAGCATCAGATCTCACACAGGAGGAGCATTTGAAGTCCTCTATTCTTTCCACACCACGTTGTTGCAGATTTATTTTTTTTTCCACGTGTCCTTAGCACATTTCTTGTCTTTTTCTTTCAGCACAAACTTCTCACTACTGTGAAGGAGACAGGCACTGGATTCCAATTTTTTTTACCCTGTATAGTGGGATAAATCTAAATAGCAGCTCTAAGCCACCACAATCCACAGAGCTTCCATGGCCTCTCTTCGTTATTGGAAGGAATCTGCACATTTATTTAATATTCTCTTCTTTGCATTGGCCAGGTGATGTCAACAGCTGTTCTTCTTCTGGCTATATTTGCTATTTTTGACACCAGAAATAACAGCGTACCAAAGGGCCTGGAGCCAATCGTAGTGGGACTTCTTATAATTGTTCTTACTTGCTCCTTGGGAATGAACAGTGGCTGTGCCATGAACCCGGCCAGGGATCTAGGCCCAAGGCTCTTCACAGCCATCGCAGGATGGGGAATGGAAGTATTCACGTAAGTATGCCTGGATATGAAGTAAAATGCTCTTGACTAAAATTGCTTCTTAGGAAAGTAAGATCCTGATTCAACATGGTACCAAGTCATACTTTATATACATATAGGTAATTCTTTGCATACCAGAAGAAGCTATTTGTGCACTTTAAGCCAGACATCCTCTAGGAACTGGGCTTTAAAAAGGATTTCCTGCTCCTGGGGCAAATCAAACATGCATTATCTCTAATATCAACCACTGTTTCAGGCAGACCCTTCCCAAAATATTAGAGATTCTTAGAGGCCACTGAAAATATAAGAGTGCTTTCTTCTCTTGTCCTGCAGCTTTCAGAAAAAAAAAATGAAATCGTGAGAGTTAGGTGGGAATATTTATTGGGTGCAGTAAAAAACACAGACATATCGGATTGATTTAGCCTATTATTACTACTGAGTTATTGCAGAAATATACAACAAGCTAAAAGCCTGACTTCCTGCCTGGGAGTGAAGGAGTGAATGAAAGCAAGCTCCCTTCATTTTCCCACATTTCAGAGCACACTCTCAAATCCCTGTGCATGCATGTGTGCACGCACACACACACGCTTTTGGCTGGCCAAATGCATAGCTAATCAGTTGCACATCAAATCTACAGCTTACACATACCCAGTGTAAAAGGCACTCTGGGATATCTAAGTAAGAGTAATCTGTCATCAGGAGGTAGGTCTTTTGGTTTATTTTTGTATGACTTGTTTTTCCAGTTATTTACAAGTAGGAATCCCCAGAAGTATTGTAGACCTCTATAGAGCTCTGGTTAATAGAGATTTCATTTTAGCTACTTCACCAAGTACAAATATTCTGTATTTATTTAGTATGACTTCCATCTACACAAATCACGTGCCTTAGTAGAGGACAGCAGTAGTAAAGCTTTTCTGATACAAAAAAGCTAGGTACAGAGCATAGAAGCAGCGGGCACAGTCATGCCATAGGCCAGATCCAAAGCTCAGATGTAACACAGCTCTGGTGAGCCACTGGCAGGAGGTCAGCTCTCTACCCCTATTACGTCTAAACTTTTCCTCCCCAGCAGGTCTTACCACTGTACCATTAGACTGTATTTTTTTTTTTTCCCCCCAAACAGCAGCATACAGAGTAACATCCCACACCTAGGATTCTCCTCTCTCCTGCCTATTTAATTATAAGCTGTTGTTGACTATGATGTTAATTATAGTGTCATGTGCTATAATCCATAATATACTATGAAGTTGGCTATTCCATTTTTTAAAATGTTTGGAAGCCTGCTTGTAGTGTGGTCTAGTCATAGACCACCTCCTCTCCAGAAGGTCCTACTCATTTACATTTAAGAAACGACAGGAAAACTTTGTTTGTACCAACATGGTCTCTTCCCTAATTTAGTTTTAGGATTTATTACACAGAGAGGAAACACATCCCCACTGTAAAGACTATACTAAGAAATTTTAAAATGTGAACATAAAATGAGATAGGAGATGTCTCGTCATTGCCAGAATAAACTTACAGCAGTCTCAGTGATGCATAAATTAAGGAAGCAGTCTTCCTCCCTTCCTTCAGTTATAAGGCTACAGCTATAACAAAGTTCAAGGGAAAGATACAACAGGAATATGTTCTCATCTATTTACAGCACAGATCCAAGTGGGACTTAGGAAGAACTTAAGCTTTGTTAGGTAGCCGGAAGCTTTGGATCAGTTACAGGCCATGGGAGAAATCTGAATGATTCTAACCGGGATCCTGAACTGCCTGATGCTCTGCTGGCATTAGATGTGCATGACAGACTTAAGTGATGCAGCAATAGTTGACAGCTAACCCTTAGATGTCTCAGCTTAACTGGAATTCACAACCTTGCGGCAGGTTCTTAAGCTCTCTAGTAAAATGCATGCCCAAGAACCGAGACCTAAGCATGAAACCTCCTCAGTGACACAAGGGGAATGCTGTACAATCCAAGCAATAGGAAATACTGAAAAGATATCGAACATTAATTGGAGCGAGGATGGATGCATCTTACTAGGTGACTGTTCGGGTCAGTGAGCGTTCAAGTGCTGCCTAGAGGGCAGCCAAGGACCACCAGGAAGGCCTCACTTTGGAACAGATCAGATCAAGAAGGACAAGACTCTCCTAACATGCTGCTCCCAAGCAAATGCTCTAAACATGGAGATAATGGGTTCACAGGGGGGAAAAGCCCCTCTACCCTTCTTTGTGTTTGCAGGTCCAGTTCATTCTGGTTTTATCATGTTCTCACCATGGTGTGGTTTCCTTAACCAGTGCAACAGGTTTGCTTCGGTTAAAGGCTCCCATTAGAAGCTGTTCTGAGCAGGGGAAAGGGGGTGTCTGTCCACCGCCCTATAGAGAGGACCATTTTGCACACAATAGATGGAGTCAGCACTGTGGCCTGTGCCTGCAAACTGCTGCTCAGCCTGTTGGGATTAGGTGTCACAGGTGGCAACTGTCCCCAACTGTCCCCAGTAGTTGTTAGAGATAACTACTGATCTGAGAGACCTAAATGTTTCTAAAGGATTTGTCCTAAAACCATGGAGATAACCAAGAGTCTCTCTTAAGTACATGCTGAATATTCTAATAAGCTTAGGAAAAGTTTTGGGTAGTGAAGTTTTGTCTGTAGTGAGAAAAGAGCCAGAGCTTTCAGTACAAAGCTCTAGATTTTTACAAGCATAAAAGAGCATGAAACAGCCATGACAAAGCGAGAAACAGCTCTACGGAACAGCATTTCGCATCGGCATGTGAAGCTAGCCCTGGAGTACTTCACCCTGGAGTTTATTACGAGTTCCTCGGCACCTTCGCTGAGGCGGGGTGCGACTGGCCACGGCAGCAGAAGCACTTGCCGAGCTCGCTACTGGCGCTGCCAGAGCCGCCGGCGCGGTAACGCTGACACCTCGTGGCCGCCGGCCCCGCCGGGGACAAGTCACCCTGACTGAAGCAAACTGCATTTCGGGAAGGGTCAGGAGACGCACCTCTTGTCTGCACAGGGATTGGGATGGCAAAGGGGCCTCTGAAATACTTTCCATTCTTTCCGGAGCGCAGAACCCTAGCTGGCCACCTCCACACTGCTGAATACCTGAATTATCCAGCCATTTCCTACAGCAAACAGCAACAGCTCACCGTCCCGCAGCAGGTGCCTCGGTGAGAAATGTATTTGCAAGTCAAAAATGGGCCAGAGTTCCCAGTCCATGTAGCTTATATGCTGTAGATTCCTGGTAATGTTTGCAGCTAAACCAAAGTGCTGCTTGCCAGGCCTGTTCCAGTGCCTGCTCCATCCTACTCTGCCCAACAGCAAAACCACCTGATGATGACAAAGGCGTAACTGGACGTTTTCCAGCTGTAGGCTAGGGTAAAACTAGGGTATAAGGGAACTAATGGTACTTTGGTGAAGCTATCTGTGCTTGTCACAAAGAGTTCTTGCTCCTCTGTCAATGAAGGAGGATTGAGTCTCATGGAAACATGGAACTCAGCTGTGTCCTGATCTCATTTCAGCTTTGGCATCGCCCTCTATAAACACTTTACACCCATCATCCTAGCAGAGAGTGTCTAAAACACAGCTGAGAGCAGCTGCTGCACATAGAAGACATGATCTGAAGAAGGTCATGCAGGAGCCAACAAGGCACATGTCAGTTCACATATCAGAGAGAAATCTGCCAAGAGACACCTTCGTTGTATGCCCATGTACACACGTGGGCACACACAGATGCATGCAAGTACCTGATCTAGATTTTGTTGTGCTGATTATTTCAGTAAAACCTTAGTCCATGCTTGTGCCAGAAATTCAGGTGCTCAACAGACATTCATGACTCAACAACAAATCTATAAACTCAGTAGAACATTATCAGGAGTTATTTTATATCCTCAGGGCAAAATCTAAATCATTACAAAGGCAAAACAAGGCAAAACACATACAACCAAGGCATTTCTGAACAAGGAATAATGTTTTTGTCAGCAGGGCACCGTGAGATTAGCTCTGTTCTATTCTTGTGTTGTGATTTAACCACAAGTTCACTTCTGCATAAATCTTCACAACTCAGTGCTGAATAATTATCCTTACAGTTTAAAAATTCCCCTGGCAGCTTCCTGTAAAGTTTCTCTCACGGATTAATTTGTCCCTTTGTATTTCTGGGGGAAAAAAAAAAAAAAAGTTACTTCTCCATTTTCAATATGCATGAAATTGAGGTGGCTGAGTTTCCACTGCAGACTCACATATTCAATTAATACAGCAGTTATTGAATTAAAACACCTTCATGCACCAGGACAGTTAAGAAAGTCCATGCTCTGAAACCAACACTCAGTAATGCACTGTCTGAATGTGGACTTCCAGGAAAGGGAGAGCAATTCTACAAACCCAAGTCCCCTGCATAAAGAGTTTGTTATTTACTGTTTTATACCTTTTAATGGTGGACTTGTTTCTTTAAAAATGTTCATAAATCTACACATTGAAAATTAAATCCTAGTAATTGTGCAACATGACTGTAAACATTCCAGTGGAGCCAATATGCTGTGCTTCCTTACTGAACACAGCAATTCTAACAAAGATTGGATTTTATGTCTATAAAACTTCTAAACACTTATTTACCTCTTACTGAAAGACTCCACGTTTTAAACACAAAGACACTACATCATGAAATTTGAATCTGGACCACTCTAGTCACTTTACAGTCATTGTGTTTTATTGCATTCCTTAAGGCAAATACACTCAAAATCAAGTATAATCTATTATACTTGTCAAGAAGAACACTGTATACACTATTGCAGGCCTGAACCTGCAAATCTCCATGCAGATGAGATAATCCATTTTTGCAACATACATTTGCATTAATCACTCCTGAAAACCTATTCATGAGCATCTGGCAACAGCATCAGTCAAGATTGCTGTGCAATAAATATGTCCCAGTTCATTTCACTGTAAGTCAATGAAGCCCCTTTTCCACAAGGGAGAAATTATCCCCTGCCCCCAAAACAGCCAGGCAGTAAAGAGGCCTTATTTTCCAAGGTGCAAGTACAGCACATAAACCAACAGGCCTGGCGGGTGTTACGTAGCATTTCAATCACAACATGAGCAGGACAGACAGGGGTGTCATCCGTTTACAGAAAAGTGAGACAAAATAGAAAGGTCTACAGTATAGCAAGTGTCACACCACTGTATTTGTTCACTGTGAAATATAAAGTAGGGTGTTCGCTAGAGTAACAAATAATGATAATCCTTGGGTGTTTTTGTTTTGTCTTACAGGGCTGGAAATAATTGGTGGTGGGTCCCTGTAGTTGCACCTATGCTGGGAGGTGTACTTGGAGCAATGACCTATATTGTTTTTATTGAATTTCATCACTCGGATACTCAGCCAGGAGAAGAAAATGATCTATATGATAAATACGAACTGACCAACATGGAATAGGTGAAGAATTCTCTCTCATGTTGTTGTGTAGTTTTTATGCAAATGATTGTTTGGACCATTTTATAAAACCTATATGCCTCAAATAGAAATTCACATTTCAAAGCAGAAAATCTATATAGAAGACAAGTTCAAAACTCACCTCTTTCCATGAAACATCAGGCTGATCACATTCAAAACTGGGAACCTGGAGGTGGTAAGGGTAAATTGTTCTTTTTGTATGGCTTTCAGATCAAGTTATCTCTTAGATTAAATTGTAGTGAGATGATGCACTGACCTGTTAATTCAACACACATGATCTTAATCATGTTGCCTAATTAACCAAAAATAGATAAGATATTGTTACAAAACAGCATGCATAGGTAGTTAATTGGTTCAGTGCTGAATTAATGTGTAAGAGCACCGCTCACTTCTTATAGCCATTATTAAAGAATGGCTTGTCTGAAAATTAAAAACAATACCTAAATGTCAATTGAAGTAGTTTTAAATAACTTACTAAATTTTTATGGAGTCACTAATTGAACAGCGAGGAATCAGCTAATCAGTGATGAGGTTTAGCAACTCAGAATACAATCACAAAAGGCAAAAACTGCGTGTTGCAAGATCAACACCAAAGAGACAAAGCTGTACTTCTGCACAGGTTCTTCATAGCAATAATATTCAGTTATTTTTAAACTATTTACTTGACCTTTATGCTACCAATTATTAAAATTCTAACCTAGAATATTAATCTGAACCTCTTGTGCTGTGCTTTCTGGATAAAATTTATTCCTGTGAAGGTAGGCCAGCAACAGAGGCTTATGCTGTACAGAGGTCAGCACAAGGCCTATGTCTGTATAAGCTTTAAAGAGGCCTTCTTTGCTGATCTACATGAGTGGATTTCATCTGCTTTGTGGGAGTAATTAAAACTAAAAACTGGTCTCATATCTAGTCCTACATCTGAATTCCTCAAGGATGGCCAGCCCCACTTCAGAGTTCTGAAGCATAGGTTCTCTCTCGCTAAAGAGAAGTGGCTGGACAAACATCACTTCCTAAATATCCAGCATTGAAAAATTAAATTATTTCTGCTTAATCATCCTGAATTGAATATATCCAATTAAATCAAAGTTAATTTATAATAATTATACATATATCTATATATGGATGTTAGAAGCAATTATGAATAAATCAACAACCTATTTAGTGATGCTCCTGAGCTATGTTAATGACAGAGTACCAGTTCAATGCACTCATTTTAGGGTGCTCTTCCTTTTGGATTCCTACAATTCTGTTCTCTAGAATTCCATAGTATTTTCTGATCTCGCTCCTGAAGGAAGGAACCCTTCGTGTTGCCAGCAACAGCTTGTGCACTTTGATGAGATAACCACAGAAGTGGTTTGGAAAATACTGTGGTCAAAACCTGCCTCAGCATTTGGGCAGATCAGGCCTGTGTCACTGCATGTCTTAACACGCTCCCTGGTATGCCATGCCAAATCCATGGCAGCAAAGGGACAGAACTTGCAGGTCAAGCAAAGTTTTACTTGCTGCAGCTGTAAAGGCAGATGATGCTGTATACTCGAGGGAGTATAATTCCAATTTTAATTAGGTTTTGAAGAAAACTTACAGAACTGTAATGAATTCAGGTTGCACAGAGACCCTGTCAATCCTGTGCAAAATACTTGTTTGATTCAGTGTTTCCCTGCTGTGTGTTGAAAACTGATATAGCTATACCCATCCACATTTGACTGCATTGTATCATTATCTGGAGAGCTGCAACAGGAAGAAGGGAGCATTTACAGAATCAGCCCTCTACCTGAGGAGGAGAAAATACAGGAGAATCAAGAATACAATGTGGAAATTTTTCTTAACTGTAGACCTGATATTGGCAGCACAGACAAGCTAGTTCATCAGTTCTGTACACTCATAAATCATGCTACATAAAACAAGATGGTGTGTAAAAGCAATTGCAGATTGAGCCTCCTTTTGCTCCCCCTTGCAATGAGCACTGTCTCTCACCCCTTGGTGACACCAGGCAGGAGCACTCCTAGGTGGCTGCCAGCCATCTGTGTCTGGAGAGGGACTGAATAGGCAGGAACATGCAGAGGGCTTCCCTCAGGTCTGAAAGGCACTTCCTTTTCCACTGATGCCAACATCTAATGTGAAATATCTGTGCAGAAAATAAAAATAGACAGCAAATTAACCAGAAGTAACTGATTTTGTCCAAAATGATAGGGGCAGATTATCATTTATTGTGCTAGAATTCTGCATAGTCCATAGGCTTCATATGGCTCATGATATTGCTTCCTCTAATACACCATGCAAAACATGGGGAAAAGCACAATACAGGTCAGGAATGAGAAAGGGACAGGTTATTTATATAACCTACTGAGTGACCAGCCCACACTTACTGTGTGTCTGTGCATTGGTCAAGGTACATTAAGTTGTACATTTTCTCAAAAGTCCTTCTGATCACAACAGGTTCTGTCTGTAAATCAACATGAAATCTTGTCTCCTATTTATGCCATTCCTACACACTGAATTTCTGGATAAGTGGTATTTACTTGAGTGAAGTTATCAACATGCAAATTGTAAGCAGTGACATACTAGCATGATAGCTAAAATACACTCTCAAGTTGTCAATTCTGTGTTCGCTTGAATTATTAAACTTTAATTAATCATGGAATATGTTTGTAAATACTATGAAGACACATGATACTAACAGCACAATTTGTACTGACTTCACAAACCTCAGAATTTCATTTAGGAACAAGGTGTTTAAGCCCTGTCTCAGATTTGACTTAATTTACATTTGTAAGTTTAAGAATTAATTGCTTCTTTAGGGACAAAACTCAGATGAGTCTTAACTACAGACCAGTCTTAATAGGACCAGTATCTCCATAATATAATGAGAACAATAATAATTACCTCATGTCATAGGCTTCTGCAGACAGCATGATCTGTTTTGTGCAAAACAGAAGTATTTTTACTTTGCATGAACTCTGCCATTTTTTTAATATCAACTGATATTCAGCGGTCACACTCATGTTGAATTAATGTAATACAGTTGGCAACACAAAACAGTTTTTCCAGCTGTAAGACATTCTGGTTAATGAATTAATAGTGATCAGGCTTGATCATATTAATGTTAAAAATATTAATTTTCAGAGTATTGCCCAACTTTCAATCTGGGTTTGTTAATTTTATTTTTGGGGGAAATTTGTTTGTTCTTTTGAGCTAAACTTAGTATTGAAGTAATTTGGAGAGTGATCCTGCAAATAGTACTGGGTTAAAGGTTGGCTCCTGCATGTTGTTTCATAGAAGCCAGTGGAATTACTCACAACAGGAGGCAATATAGGCAAGGATAAGGGCTCAGACAATCAAGCTCATAGAATAGTGGAAACTGTACTTTCTTGGAGTTTTGACTGTGGATCTGGATGAATGTGTTGTGGTTCAAAATAAATACAGTCAATCCCTAATAAATGCATTCCAGTACTATTTTTATTTTAAAAATCTCCCCTCTGGCACTTAAGGACATATTAAGAAATAAATAGCTGCCTATTATGACCTACAATGTTTTATAGCCTTGTGCTGGAAGAATACATTGACTAACGAGCTGTATTCCCAGAGCGCAGACCCTGTGGCAGATTTTGTGGGTCAGAAGCAGTGCCAAAGCAGAGAAAAGCTCACTTAAGAGTAATGGCCACTGCCAGGCCAGGAGGCACCCATGCAATGAGAGGGGCTGGACCTTCTCCTATTCCTGTCCACAGCCTGCCTAGGGACGCTTTCGGGCACAGCTTTCCCACCGGTCTAACGATAGCCAGAACCTAGATGGGATATTTTGCTTAAGTCTCTCTTCAGAGATTGCCTTTAAGGCATCCATATATCATACCAAACTTGGCCTATGGTGCTTACAAAATGCCTCAAGCTAATTTATCTATCTTCTACTCTACAGATTTGTAATAGGGACATGCTTTGCTTGTTTCATTTAAAAAGCACATGAAAACCTGTTCTGCAGGAGCAGGGAAAGAAGACCATGAGTTTCAGATCTCCTCAGGAAGGCACAAAAGAAAGAAACCAGCCAAACAAACAATTTGAAGTGGCAGCAGGCATTTTATCCTCCATCCATCCTAATGCCCCTTACCTTCCCATCAGTCTTTCAGATTTTCTGTTCTCCTTTCTTTCTCCTGCCAACACTGTGTGCTGTGCTCTGTCTCTATACAGTACATCTCCAGAGATTCAAATACAGCATGCTTTTCTCAGTTACTTGTGAATCTCAGAAAGTTCTCACGAGAGCAAATTCAAGTTTCACCTCACACGCTTGTTTTTTTGGCAGTTGCTTGCATTTTTTCCCCACTGTTCCCACCAAACAACCTTGTGCTGGAAAATACAACAATTAACTGTAACTTCCAGTAACAGCTGCTCTTTTTCTGTTTAGTACAATTGTTACCACATAACAGATTACTTCTTTCAAACACGTACAATTTTTAAAGCTTTCCTTTTTCAAACCACTATTAAAAATAGCACAAGATTATCCAGAAAAAAAAATATTCTGTACACATCAGTTAGTAGTTTGGATTTTTATCTTCTATTTTGCACTTACAACTTGTTAAAGAACCAGTTATAATTATTGTACTGTGTTAGCATCTTTCTGCTTATTTGCACGCTCTAATGGCATAGTCTCAGAAGAGAAAGTAGCAGATAAATATTTTTAGCCATTGGTGTTTCTTTGTATATTTAAATCAAATATTAAAGAAATCCATATAGTATGAAGCTAGACATGACACGTCATTTTTCTCTCTTTGCTAAGCAGAACTTTCTTCCAAAAAGTGTTACTAAAGTAGGGAATATGAATATTACAGCACCTTAAATCATCAACAATCAAACACTCTGGCCAGATGACCCAATTAACTCCTTTTCCATGACAGGGTAGGACAGACTAATAATATGGTCCCTCTCTGACCCTCGTAGGGACTGAGCAGTGTGCTCTGAATTATTAGAAACCAAGCTTTCCTTTCACACTGCAAACTTTGCTCCAACCATCCAGAAATTGAGAGTAAGGATCCTGCTACATGCTACTATCAAACACAGCAATAACAAAGAAGAAAGAAAACTTCAAAAGCTGGTAAAACAAAGCAAGCCCTTTTGGCCAGAGGTCAGCCAAAAGGCTGATTGATAAATGCTTGGTTATTTCCCAAAACA